AAATATATAAATTTTTGGTATTAATCTAATATTGAATCTAATTTGACCTTAATTTATGAGTCTATTATTAATTCCTTAGATTTTCTCTCTTTCCACCTTTTACATATAAGTTCAAATCCAATCTTCTATCGAATAATTCCATACACTGTGTTCTTAAGCCTATTCAATACGATAAGACTGTGTTACTATTGATGGAATAAGACTTTGGATACTTAGTAGTGGGTTACTAAATTTCCCAACCAAGGCTTCAATGACAAGATTTTTATAGTACCTAGATCCAAAAATGAAGTTACAATGGTAAATTTACATAAAGCTTGAGGTGGAAAAATCATTTGTAATTATCAAGTATATGCAACATTAGGGCCATTGCCTAATCTACCTTTATGACTCCAACTTCAATTACTTGTTAAGAAATAGCAATGAAAGGTTTTCTTGCCATTTTTCCTTCTATTTTGGCCTCTTCTTTGAAAATAAATATACCATCTGTTCAAACTAATGCCCTTCCTTTTATGGTAACAACACAATGATATGGTCTTGCTCTCCTGAAGCTAGTCGTTTAGCCCTATCTACCTTTACAGTTGTAATCCATAAATGGCATCCAATAGAAAGAGACATTTATTCCTCAAGTGTAATAGTTTATTTAGTTGGCTTCGAAAATGCCAATAACTAAAAAAGCTTCTCTCTTTACTGATACCCTCTCTTCGATAAGTAATCGTCTCCGGTTTCTTTCCTATCAAAGCAACTAATGGCAATATTAGTTGTCATCTTAATAATAAGAGATGACAATGGCGACTATCATTGTGATCATCTAACCGGTCATTTATTCATTCTGACTAATGAAAACTTTATTTGTAGATAAGTCAAAATTTATTATCATGTAAATGTAACATAAGGGCCATTGCCTTGCCTATCTTTATAACTTCAACTTCATTTGCTTCTTAAGAAATAATAATGAAAGTTTTTTTTTTGTGTGTCATGTTTCCTTCCATTTTTGGCCCTTCTTTGAAAATAAATATAGCATTTTTCAAGCTAATGCCCTTCTTTTTATGGTAACCACACAATGATCTGGTATCCTGTTCCCTTGAAGCAAGTCATTTAGCACTTTCTACCTTTAAAGCTGTAATCCATAATTGGCATCCAATTGAAAGACATTTATTTCCTAAGTGTAATAGCTTTTGTGTTAGCATTGAGGATATAAAAAACTAAAAAAGCTTCTCTCTTTACTGATGTATTATTCTTTTCAACAAGTTACCGTCTCCTAATGAATTTTTTCCCTATCAAAGCAAGTAATGACAGTATTGGCTATGTCATCTTAATCAGCAGAGATTCAATGGCAGCAATTATTATGGTCATCTAATTGGTCATTTGTTCATTCTGACTAATGAGAACTTTAATTGTAGATAAATGGTCCTCATAGTTATAAATATTAGGCTTCATAAAGCCGCTAAGAATATCATTTATACTCCATAATTTAACAAGGAAAAAATAAACTTGTCGGTTGAAAATAATATTTTGATATAAAAAGTATCATGGAATCGAGTGTATAAAAAAATTATAAACTATTATGAAGATTTCAAGGTTAATAATTTAGAATTTCTAAGGACATATTAAACGATGATTCGTATTTTTCACCAAACTACCCCATAGAAGACAAATTGTCATCTGACAAAAATCATGCACTGGAGTTCAATTGTACCTTGGAATCCATGTTGATGATTTAGAACTAGTATGAAGATTTCAAAGTTAATGATTCAGAATTTCTAAGGAGATATTAAATGATGATTGGGTATTATTTGCCAAACTACGCCATAGCAGACAAATCGTCAACTCACAAAAATCATGCATTGGTGTTCAATTGTCCCTAGGAATCCATGTTGATTGAGAAAATGGGAAAGAATTTGGTTGGAGGAGCTTCGCAAAAACCTAGAGAAAAATGAAGAAGAAGGAATTATTTTAACTGCATCAAAATTAATTGGTAAATACAAAGGTCTAATATTTAAAAGAAAATGGATGTTAATGCAAATCCATTAACAATTCAAACTAAATGCACTAATCTAAACAATCTTATAATAAACAATTTACATCCATTTAAGTTATGGCAAGACATTAAATCTCAAAGATTCTTTCAAAAGAAAGGTGAATTTTGTGAAGAGAAATTTGAGAGGAGTTTCTTGATAGTTTCCCTTGTTAATTCAATTTTTTATTTAATCCCTCCTAATTCTTCTACAAATTTTATTAGTCTCCTAAGTTTTCGTGCAAGGATTCATCCCAATATCTCAATGAGGGAAAAGTGGCTTGCAACAATTCCTCGTAGATGAGATCAAACAGAAATAGCTATCATGGTGTAGTTATAGGACAATAGCATTTCAAGCAGTCAACCTCACAGCGATGAAAAAGTAGGGACGAGACTCTTATAGCAACTATGCAGAGCTAAATATGCAAAAAATGGTGAAAAATAAATAAAAGAGGATATCCAATGAGGAAGACAAATGAGAGAATCTAACTTTGACCATGTAGGAGATAGGAGAAAAAAATAGTAGAGAAATTTTAAATTTCAATTCAGTCAACCATAATTCAAATACAAGTTAAAAACCATTATCTATAAAAATAAGACCATCAAACTAAAATAATGTAATTTGAATCAAATCTAATCATACTCAAAATGAAATCAAATCCTAACAAATAATTCAACTTTAACTTAAGATGATTAATAAAATCATCTTGATTTAAAAATAAATTGATAGTAACAAATCAAGATGCATTAATTAGACAAAATAAAATTGAGATATAGCTTAAAAAAATATAAACCTATTTTCTTGTGCTGCATCGAAAAGAGATTGACTTCGAGATAGATTTCAAATATGATTTTATAAATCTCATAAGAGAATACAAAGCGAGATATTAACCAACCATCAAAAAACGACTACAGAGAGATATTAAATGATAATATAAAATGCAATGCTACCTCTACTCAATCACAATAAACTCAATTCTATATTTCTAAGATCTTTTAGTCTAGATGTGCATACAAATATAAAATAACATCCTATATCATAAAGATCTAGCACAAGTTTATTATTAACTCAATATAATTTTAGAAGTTCATTAAAAAAAGTTTGTGATGTTTGTCAAATTTGAATGATGTTGACACTTTTGCAAGTTTAAATATATTCAAAACATTTAATGATGTGGTAAGAAGGGCTATTCTTTTACTTATTTATTTATTTATTTTCTTTTAATTCTCCTTTAGCATTATCTCAAATTAGGGATAGTTTAGCGAGTAGGTTCGTTGATATTATAACTTTTCCTATAAATATCATCATGTTGTGAAAAGAAGGGGAGTTTTGGTGAGTTGTTTTCGCGATAATCTTGATTCTTAAGGATGATTCCTTAATTTAAGAAAAAGGGGTGAAGATAAATCCATAGTGGGTTTCAAGTCCTTACCAAAATTGATTTGCCAAACCCGCAATCTTTCTCGTGTCATACAGACGTGTTCAACAGTTTCCTGGCAGATAGAATTGTGAATTTTTTTTCTACCGCAGAGTTTTTGTTCAGTAATTGCCAAGAGCCAGTAAACTAGCATATTTGATTTTTGCTGCTTTCCATACCCCTGGAGTTAATTCCAGCTCCTGCAATAGGAATTTGTCAAGAGGACTGCTTTTTAACAGCATTCTTGAAGCCTGTGGATCATACAGAACAGGTTTTATGCTTTTATAATTTTGATATTGTCATTTAATTCCGGTTGAATCTGTCATTGCAGTATTCCTATGTTTGCCTTACTACAGGAAGGCCGTAAATTCCAGCAAAAAATCAATAGGGGGAATCAAGTTAAGAGAAAATTAAGTGGGACAGGAAATTACAGTTTTCCTTGGTCTATGTGAACTAAGCACTAGGCAGCTAATTTTTTGGGGATTAGCAAGACTGTATGATGAAACAGGAAATTACAGTTTTTTTCCTTGGTCTATGTGAACTAAGCACTAGGGCAGTTAGTTTGTTGGGGTTATTGTTTACAGATTTCCTTGGCCTATATGAACTAGGGACTAGGATAGCTAGTTCGTTGGGGTTTATTGTTTACAGATTTCCATTATATGAATAGTCATTCTCTCGATGTGCTTAGGAACCAAGTTGTTTTAACTGTGAAATTGCCTGGTGACTGTTAAACTTTTTGGCACGTTCTTAGTGTAATTTTCCAACTTATTTGAAGATTAAACTTATATAGGCCATTTTAGCTGTCATTTGGTGTAATTAATCATGTCAAATACAACAGCGCATTAATGATTTTCCATAGTTGTTAAGACATCCATTGTAATTTGTAAGCTTCACAAGTATCAATTACATATCACAAAACTGATATAAAAATTAAAGGAAACTAAAAATAGCAGCAAACCAGGAAGGAATTTATTTTGCAGTAAACCCATTGAAGAAATATTAGAATGCATTTATTGTGACTTGGAAATCTCAAGTTCGAACCAGGAAACAGCTTCACAAAAACAAGGATCAGGTGCATTTTTATTTCACTATAAAAAATTCGATAACGCTAGGAATCAGACAGTTAAGAAGGCGTTTATTGAAACTTTCAATCCTACATAAATTGATCAATCTTACCATTCACAAAAAACTTCTGCAAATAAATTCATTAAAACAAGTTTCGGAAACAATTTTTTTCACCCAATCCATTAAAAGCAACATCTGAAAAAGGGGAAAGCGTGTAACAGGAAAAGATAATAATGTTTTCTATATTGTAAGAACACAAAAAAAGAGGCAATGGCCAAATGCATCCTTGATCATATGCCAAAACTAAGCATCGGAACAAGAGAAATGTGATAGCTATGAAGCTACGCGAGAGTTTGATAAGAAATAAGACTTTCAAGTGAATTGTGAAAACCAACGAAGCACCAAAATAGTCGAGAAAAGGTTAATGATGATAATGATGACCATGATGAAAAAACAAGCCACGAACTGCTGGTTAATTGAACGAGAACCGATACCGATAATCTTACCGGTCAAGAAGCTTTGCTGCCGCCTCGTACTCCCTGGCCTGGTACATGGCCTTTAGCACCAGATTATACGACGCAGTGTTGGGTGAGATATCGTACTCCTGCATCTGTGCGACGAGATCAAGCAGCTCACCAGCCGACGCCGCCATCATCAGATTAGCTCTCAGGTAATGATTGTAGAGGTTCACATCAGGCTTGTTTGGCTTGCCACTGGCGTCGAGCGACCTAATCCAATATTCGAATAGCTGCTTCAGATCGGACCACCGCTGCGAAAGCATCCAATCTGCAAACACGGACATTAGGCTAGCCAGGTCCAGCGTCTGCGAGAATGCCATTATACGAGCGCTGGAGTCATCAAACCCCACCGGAACAAGCGAATGGCGCCCGAGTGCAAGAGAGCCAGCACTAGGATTTCGCCAATTCTCCTGGTAGAAGGGGCTTCCCGATGAAGGATTGGGAGGGAGCGGGCTTGCTGCAGGAGAGATCTCTTGGAGATACGGCTCCTGAGAGAGGAATGAGGTGCCAGAAATAGGTCGAATGAGCGTAGGGCATAGGGTTTTACGGTGAAAGATGAGGGTCCTTGAGAGTATCGTCAACCTCGCCGCCATTGACAAGCTCGCGATGGAGCTCTGAGCGAGTTAATGGTTTGGCTAGGGTTCAGTGTGTCGACGTTATAGAGGAGCGGTCGGCTCAAGGGAAGTAATAAGCACTCATAACTGCTTATGTTAGTTTTTCCTATATTGAGGGTTATATTTGTGTGTATATCCCTGTAATTTATTTGTAACATGCCTGTGACTTCTAAAAAAGTTTTTCTCATTTATTTTTATATATTTGTAGGTTAAATATAAGTTACAGTAAATTATACGAAGATTATAAGAAGTATAACGCGGATATAAACACTCAATACTCTCTAAATAATGTAAGACGTATGCTAATTTTTCTCCAACTTAAGAGCTTATAACAACTTGGACTACTCGGCCATTTTTTAGATAGGAAGATTTACATTTGGGCCACTCAATTCTTATGTATTAATACGTCTACACCTAAACTTTAATTTATGTGTTGAATCCAAATAAGACGTAGGCCTCCTATTATCCATGGGGCAATAAATGAGAGAGGGAGATCTAGAGAGTCCCCGTTAAAGGTGCAAAATAGTTGAGTTGAGCTTGAGAAACTTAGCTTTCGCTTTCGCTTGATTAATTTTTGATGCGTGCTAGAAAATTCACGGTAGTAGAGTAATGGATTATCGTCTTAGCGTTGCGCGAGGATTCATCACACACTCATATGAAAATGAATTAAGCTGTGATAACACCATAAGTTTTTACGTGGAAAACCCGTAAAAAGGAAAAACTATGGGGTCTGGCCCAATTGTAAAAATCCACTATAAATTGATAATTACAGATTATCTCTTATCCCACAGGCGGGAAAGGGTTAATAGATTTCCAAATTACAACGTCGACTGACGACGTCTAATAAGCGGTGGTTGACAGAGGTCGGTGATGATCGACGGTAGTTGACAACAATCAATGACGGTCGGCGGTGGTCGACGGAGGTCGGCGATGGTTGTCGACGGTCAGTGGTGGTCGATGGCGATCGACGATGGAGATGATGATCTTGGACTTGAGCTCATTCTAAAAGTCTTAAGTTCTCTCTTAAGTCTCCTTCTTTTCATGTGAGGGGTGAGGCTCTATTTATAGTATTTTGAGTACAATTAATGCGTGAATATGAACCATTTTTATCGAACGGTCCGGAGAGCTTCCTTTGATCAGATGACGTTTGATGGACATTTGAGTGTCTTAACGATGTCGGAATTGAGCAATCTTGGGCTCGTTGGATTCTTCTTGTCGAGAGGTTCGATTTGACAATAAACTCGCTAGATTCGACATCTGTTTGACCTTTAAAATGCTTCTGGAAATCTTTTAATTGTGGTTTAATGATTTGATTCGGACTTGGTTTGACTCGGATTGGACTGACTATCATATCATTAGGTCTGTGTCATCAAGTCGATCAGTTTGACTATAAGTTTGCTGAAATCAGAGCTCCGGATGACTCTTAATTAAAGTTTGAATGTTATTTGTTTAAAAAATTACACCGAGATTCGTGTTGGCTGATGAAATTTGCTGGTGACGTATCAGTTGCCCCCCTATTTTCGGGCCAAAACATTTTTTTTTCCTTCCAAAAATATTAAGAAGCAAATGAATAAATAGTTTATTATTATTTGTAGTTTTGTAAGGCATAAAAAATAAATAATTTATCACTATTTGTATTAAGATTGATGTTTATCATTCACATGTAAGAAAATTGAGACTAGCTCAGTTGGTATGTGGCTTTTGTCGTTTGCAGGTGGTGTGGGATCAAGTCCCCCCCCAAAACATATATATTTATACATATATTTTGTTTGGTCTGTAAGCCGGGTCGGGACCTGAAAGTCAAAAAACTTTACCCGTGGGTCACACCGGGTAGGAGGCCACCCGTCTGAGACCCGGAAAGAGCTTAATCTGGCCCGGACCGGCGGGAGCTGAAGGGCCAAGCGAGATTCATTGGGCAGAATGCTGTGGGAGCTAAATGGTTGCCATTGGGCCGAATGCAATGCTGCGGGAGCTAAAGCATTAAAAAATGAATGGTGGGCCAGCTGATGCACTAAATACCATAATTTAAATAAAAACTGATATATATATATATAAAATCACAGAATGTGATGAATTTTTTATTAATTTACTGGTATTTTAATTTTAATTAGTTTCAGTCATAGAGGCAGAATTTAAAATGTCAAAAAATTGAAGGAATATGAAATGAAAATTTTTTTTTAATAAATTAATTTTTTATAATGACTCTAATTAATTTTATCATTAATATGATGGGGTTTTTCAGCCTGTAAATAGACAAAAGATAGGAGAAAAAAGGTGGAGTCTCTGTCCCTGCCTAGAAGGTGATCCGGGATTTCCCAAAAAAAGAAAGTCGTCCCCGTCCTGCGAAGCATGCAAGCAACGGGATCTTCTTTCTTGTTACAACGAAGAGTTGTGGCGAAGTGTTACAGTGAAACGTTACGGCTAAATGTTATGGTGAAGTGTTGCAGCGAAGAGTTGCGGAACGTTGCGGTGAAGAGTTGCGGCAAAATGTTACGGTGACATGTTGCTACAAAATATTGCGGCGAATTGTTGCGGCGAATTGTTGCGATGAAGAGTTGCGGCGGGGTGTCGCAGCGAGGCGTCGCAACCACGCTACACATTGTGGTGGAGCGTCGCATATTCCGTAGGAGATTCTCGTGCTGCTCTGGCAAGTTCTGAAAGTGATGAAGAAAGATGTAGTTTTATCGCCTCGCCATGAGGGGGTAATTTGCATGCTTATGTGGTGGCGATATCTGGATACCCCTTAACGATCATCATAAATACTAAAATTTTATGAAGGCGATGTCGATTCTAATTGAAGATGAACTGATTTGTTGTAGCTCTTGTATATGTAAATATTGGTATTTGTAGCCCTTGTACATGTATATGTTGGTATTTGTAACATTTTTAATTATCTGATGTGACAATTATAGATGATAACAATGTATTTTTTTGTTGCTTCACGATTGTTGTAGCTTCTTAATTGTGCAAAGTTCTTCTGAGGCTCGTAGCTTTCTAAGAAATTTTTATGCACTCGTGCCTTCTGAAGCTTGTAGCTTTCTGAGGACTTTAATGTACCTATGCCTTCTGAGATCTTTGATGTATCTGTGCCTTCTGAAGCTTGTAGCCTTTTGAGGCTTGTAGCCTTTTGAGGACTTTGAGTGGAGACCATGTCAACCACTTTCTCTCATGGAGTCTTTCTAGTGAGGACCCCGTCCACAACTAACTACCCATCAAGGCTTGTCTCTTGGGCTCGTCTTCCAAGGGCTCAATGAGTCTTGCCCCTTGGGCTTGATTTTTAGAAGTATCATATCTTCCCGTCGAGTGTTGCCTCTTGGGCTCAACTTTTAGGGGTATGGTAGCTTATCATCCTCAAAGGGGCTTTCTACACAAAAATCTTTCGCGAGAAAATAAGAAAATTTTATTGAAATGATATTTTAAAGCAACATAAGAAATTTGCTAAAATAAAATTAAGAGTTTATAAGCCAGTATTTTACTCAGATAATATGAGTTGGAGTTATACTTCTCATTCGATAACTCCAACAGTTCTCTTCTGGTTCCTCTCACATTGTTCTTGTAAGTAGCGACCTATGTGACATTGGCGTATTAGACGTTTAATTTATTCCTTTAATTGAAAATATCTTTCTGTTGAATGTCATTTTGCACGGTAAAAATGACAATATTGAGATTGGTCTTCACCATCTTGATTTCTTAACGACTTTGACCACTTGACAGTCCCGTTATCATTGATTGACATTAAAATGTTAACACGTAACATGTTGAGTGGCCTGTATTCTCTTTTTGATTGTTGCTCACGATTCCCTTGTGCCCTAAACTTTTTTCATTGTGAGATTTGATTGGTATTCCCAACGTTATTCTTGTGCTTGCCCCCCAATCGCTCAAATTGTTCCTTGTGAGCAATGATGGCCTCATCTGCAGAGATTTGTGCCTCAACACAGTGAACAAGGTCAGCACAAGAATGAATCGTCTCCCGCATCAACGACGAGTAGAAAGGTTCTGGGCGGAGCCCCCCAAGGAAGACTCCTCTTAGTAACTTTGGATCTACTACCGGGATCTGCCGGGATTCAGTAGAGAACCTGTGGAAGTAATCCTTCAATGATTCTCTTTCGCTTTGACGAATTCCCGAGAGATTGGATGAATCCTTGATGATCCGTCGGTTTGCTATGAACTCTTCCACAAAAAGTCTGACAAACTCATTAAAGGTGTTTATAGTGCCCCCCGACAGAGAGTAGAACCAAGTTCGAGCTTGTTCTTTAAGAGTAGTCGGAAACACTTGACACAAAAGTGCATCAGAGACGCGCTAAATGTGCATGATTGTTCGATAATGATCAATATGCTCGTAAGGGTCGGTTGTCCCTTCATATGTATCGATGCTCGGAAGCTTAAAGCCCGTTGGGATGGGGTGTTGGAGGACGCATCCGCTAAGGGAGAATATTCATGGATCTTACGATGAACGTAGAAGCGATCATTTTTCTCTAAGGGGAACTCTTCCCGGACGAGGCGTCGTTGTTGATTACCAATGACATTATCTGGAGTGACAGGAAGATATGACGATGTCGGGTGAGCTGCACGAGATGAATGAGTAAAACTTGCTGTATCTAGGAGTTTAGCATCATGACCTGATAAGGGATGTGTTCCTTCTTGAGGAGGAGGGTTGACATGAGTTCCTTCGAGCGATATGTTTCTAGTACGTCGCGGAGTTAATGGTAAAAGAATTTCATCCAATGGTGTAGGCAGTGGTTGTTGATCCCCGCGTAGGAGTTGTAGGATCTCTAATCTCTAGTTGTGACTCTTGCATTCTACGCATTTGATCTTCTATTGAAGGACCCGAAACACCTTCATTGGCGGGATAGCGTCTTCCAGGGTGGGAAGATGAAGAAGCCCTTGGTTTCGTGAGTGCTCCCTGGAACGACGGGTGTTGGAGCGGGATGCTCCCTTGTCACAAACATTGTGTATGGTGGCCATGTAGTAGACTGCGTAAGTACTTTAGTTATGGGATTAACACTTTCCCACAGACGGCACCAAACTGATGCGTGCTAGAAAATTCACGGCGGTAGAGTGATGAATTATCGTCTTAGCATTGCGCTGGGATTCAACACACACTCAGATGAAAATGAATCAAGTTGTGATAACACCACAAGTTTTTACGTGGAAAACCTGTAAAGAGGAAAAACCACAGGGTCTGAACCAATTGTAAAAATCCACTATAAATTGATAATTACATATGCCCCTTGTCCCACATACGGGAAATGATTACTAGCTTTTCAAATTACAACGTCGACTGTTGACGTCTAGTCAGCGGTGGTTGACGGATGACGACAGTGATCGACGATAGTGGACGACAGTCGATAACGGTCGTCGGTGGTCGACGAAGGTCAGCGGTGGGTGTCGACGGGTCAGCGGTGGTGGTCGACGGTCAGTGGTGGTCGACGACGATCGACGATGGTGAGGATGATCTTGAACTTGGGCTCCTTCTCAAAGCCTCAAGTTCTCTCTTAAGTCTCCTCCTTTTCATATGAGGGGTGAGACTCTATTTATAGTGTTTTGAGTGCAATTAATGCAGGAATATGAACCATTTTGATCGGACGGTCCGGAGAGATTCCTTTGATCAGATGACGTTTGATGGACATTTGAGTATCTTAATGATGTCAAAATTGGGCAATCTTGGGCTCGTTTGATTCGTCTTGTCGAGACGCTCGATTCGACAATAAACTCGCTAGATTCGACGTTTGTTTGACCTTTCAATGCCATCGAAAATCCTCCAATAGTGGTTTAATGATTTAATCCAGGCTTGATTTGACTCGGATTGAACTGACTTTCATATCTTTAGGTCCGTCTCATCGAGCCGATCAGTTTGACTATATGTTTGCTGAAATCGGAGCTTCGGATGAAAGACGCTCGATTCGACAATAAACTCGCTAGATTCGACGTTTGTTTGACCTTTCAATGCCATCGAAAATCCTCCAATAGTGGTTTAATGATTTAATCCAGGCTTGATTTGACTCGGATTGAACTGACTTTCATATCTTTAGGTCCGTCTCATCGAGCCGATCAGTTTGACTATATGTTTGCTGAAATCGGAGCTTCGGATGAATCTTAATCGAAGTTTGAATGTTTCTTGTTCAAAAAATTGCACCGAAATTCATGTTGCCTGATGAAAATTTGTTGGTGACGCATTGATTTTTTTGAGTTCGAGCTCGAGCTTAAGCTTAAGTCCACGAGTTCAAGCCGACTCAAGAACAGACTTATTTATAATAAAAAAGAAAATGATATTAATTTAAGCTAGTTTTATAATAAAATGATAAATAAAATAAACAATTAGAAGATAAACAATATAAAATCATGTAATATGCAATGCTAAATAACATTTTTTAAACATTTTTAATACCTTTAAGATAATTTATTTATATTTAATATATTTTGAGTACATTTTATATTAATATTTTTTTAAATGAGCCGATCCATGAGCTAACGATTCGGGTTGGGGCTAGCTTGAGCTTGGCTTGTTAGGTCATCAAGCTCAGTTCACGAGCCACTTATCGAGCAAAACTCGAGTTGGCTTGACCCACTTATACCCCTAGTCCCCCTTCTCTTTACCCTTGTTTACCCTTTTATACATAGGATATAAAATAATATAAAATTGTCAAAGTAAAACATCCAAAGCTATATTATTGATTCTCTCTGACCGACGCTGTAACTCTTAAGTCATTGTCGACTAATATTAGATATGGTTGACCCGATGACCATCATTAATGTTTGGGTGATAAGACTAAATCCCTAGTGTCGGGCGCTTCCTTAAATAAGAGATAGGTATGATGTCTTGATTGGTCATGACAATTTCCTCGAACTACTACCTATGTAACTGTCGAGAATTAATAAATCTATAAAGATATGCCTGCAATGTCTTCTCGAGGATGATGGAAATAAGTTAAACTGACCACTTCGACATGTGGGCTTGATTAAACCACTTGGTTGGTCATGATGACTTTACACTACATCTGCAAGAGGCCCATGATTTCTCACCTTTCAAAATTTTTTACATTAAAAACATTGGGTCCTAAGATCATCTCTATTTACTCCTAGGCGCTCTTAAAAATTCGGACGATAGAAATCATGCCTTATTATAAAATTTAGAAATAGAAAAAATATTATTTTTTAAATAATAGTTAATAAATTTTATAATGAAAAAAAAAATCATTATGAGTTATAATGTCAAGCAAATCATAGGTTGGTTTCTTAACAAGTTATTAGTAAGCTCTGGGCAAACAAAACGAAGCAATTAACGAATAAAAAAATCTATTGGGAGATATGAGAAAATTAATTCTTCTAATTAAATACCTTATGATATTCTTAATCTCCATTTTCGTCTATTGTTCCGTTTTGCATGGATAGTTTCTGTAGCCCGCTCGACTCCTGAATTCTTGTAGTCGGATAGGGATTTTGATTGAAGGGAAGATTCATGGGCGATGGGGTGTTTTTGCAGCAAGAGCACAGATTCCAGGACGAGTCGGATCGGTAGATGGAATGCTACAGGAATCGTAGCCCTAAGGGATTCCAAACTCAAGGTATCCGAGCGTGAATCGATTAGGGTTTTCTATAACGGATTTTATTTAACTTGCCGCGATTGATTTCGGTTTGCAGGCGGCGGTTCCGGAGTTTGATAAATTGATATTTTCCCCTCTAGATGATTTTATAAGAATTAGGGCTGTTAGTGTAGATGATGTTGATACAGCCTACGGGAAGGGGTGTTATGGCTACAAGTGAGATTGAACTCAGCCAGGATTTGGCAAATACTGTAAATCCATATTGAGAGGATTAAAACTGGAAAACTAAACTTGTCATGAAATCATTGGCCCTTTCTGAAGTGTACCCTTCTATAACCACAAACATTGTTAGGAGGAGCTTGGCATACCCTGGAAGCCCTGAAGATTGTCTGATTTTTATTGGATTCAATAGAGTTTGTGTTTACTAAGATTTCATTATGGAATCATTCATGCCCTTTTCTAACCACAAAATTGTTAGGAGGAGCCTGGCATAATCAGTGATTCTTCTTCTGCACCTCCTGCTGATCACATTGTTGAGATAGATTAGAAAGTTTAGCTAGTGATATCTCGTATTGCTCATTATTTGCGGCTTATGAATTATGAAAAGGAAGTGGAGCTGGTCATCATTCTTCAAATGATTATTTGCTGTTGTTAAAAAGAAAACAGAAGTAAAGGGTCAAAATAGTTCTCTAACTGTTTACATGGGCCATTTTAGTCCCAAAATCTATAAAAGCGCTAAATAATCTATAGAAATTTAAATTGGGGTTGAAATGGGTACTATTTCAGCCCACATTAAAAGGTGTTGGGGACGAAATTGACAATTTTATAGACTATGGGACTAAAATTATCCAACGTAAATAGTTTGAGAACTATTTTGTCACTTTACTCTCAAAACACTATCCAAATCTATAGATTGGGCCTAGCATAAGTTATTTTCTTTCATCCTTTATTCCAAATCTGTTGGAAGAGAGTATATGAAGTCTAATTATAACCTATGCAATAATGCTCTGCCAGTAAGAGCAAGCACATTGTGTGCATCTCCCTGATCAAGTTGTTGACCTCATTTTTGGTGAGGTCTTAGTCTCCTACTCTTAGAACCTAGGATCTAGCTTTAGGAGTTCTTATTGACCATCCTAGCGGACTAGCGATGGAGCCACCTCCCGTAGAACTTCAAGCCAATTCTTGACTCATTTTTGTGAAGAACTCGCATGAGTGGTTCGAAGCACTCAACTTTTAGTTGCAAGGGCTAAGGACCAACATGTAGAGGGCCCGAAATTGAGTTCCTATAGGATCAACAGCCTTAGGTGGACCCTTTGTGACTCGATTACTCGCGAACGCCATTTTTCATGCACTCACTGCACCACACACGATTTTGGCTTAAATTG